TTTATAACTTATATCACATAACTACTTGAAATATAAATTTACTAATTGATAAATAATTTTGTTTTTCTAATTAATATTAAAAATAATTTTATTGTTGTTGTAAAGATAAATATAATTTATTTTTTGTATGCATACAATATGGATGTTAAATTGAAGCTCATCAAAAGATGATTAATTAGATATATTATATATGCAAAACTGATAAAAGATACAAAAGTAATTAACTTTTAAAATACATTTACAATTCAATGGTTATAATAAGAAACGATATTAAAATGTAATTAATACTAGCATGACCATAAATAATTAATATATTTATGGATATTCCAGACCTAATTATTTATGGATATACCATACCTAATTATTTTTGGATTTGAAGTAATTAAAATCAACTCAAGTCTAATAACGAAGCATGTAATTTTGCCACATAGGATCTCGAAGAATGCGAGTCTGCCACTTAGACTCAACATGTTTTGAATTATATATAGGGGATAGGGGGATTATACTATAGGTGTATAAAACTTTTAGTGCAAAAAAACTATTTTCATCTCGTTTTGAAGTCATGCTAAGTTTTTCGCATCGCGCAATAAAAAGCTAAGTTTTTCACCCCAGAAAGTGCGAAAGACAGTGTGCGATGAATATGCGACAGTTGCACGATGACATTGTGCGAAAGTTAAAAGTGCGAAATGCCCTTCGCACTTTCTGGGTGAAAAAAGTAAAGTGCGAAGGCATTGCGCGATGAACATGCGACAGTTATGCAATTGATATGCGATAGTTATGCAGTCCGCTCGCATAACCTTCGCACTTTTCGGGGTGAAAAAATTAAATTGTTAGTGGGCGACGTGAAAAAAAAAAGTCTTTGGACTTGGATATAAAATTGTATCAATAAAATAAGACTATATATTCGTCCAAATTTATGTACAAAGACATTTGTTAACTTATGGAGAAATTCTATGGAGCCATCGAATGACTCTCATATGCAGTTATCTATAACTTTATGTATTGACATGTGTCCATTGTGTATTTATTGTAGGACACGTGCCAATACATCATTTGAAGATAACTATGAATGACTCCTATCCATAAGTCGAGCCATCTGATGGCTCTATAACAAAACCGTTGCTAAGGATGCCTGTATCAAAAAAAGTCTTGGTACAAAACAGTAAGAGCTGAATGTGATGAGATCGGGCGAAGCTTTTCATATATACTCCCAATTTATGATGTCTCAAAAGTCAAACACGAGTCAAACCCTCGAAAAAAGACAAAAAATGAACCTGATATGGAGTCTTAATTTTCTAAGTAATTTCATGGCTAAGTACCAAACGCGTATTCGTTCGTAATTTTAATATAAATTGCGAGTTGAAATTAATCACAAAGTACTTATTAATTCCCTTGTGTAACGTGTGTATACATAAATGTATTATTATTATTATTAGTAGTATCATATTTGAAGTTAGCGTGTGAGCAAACAAAAAAGTCTACACTCCTATATATATAGTCTTTTGTATTGTATTTTTAAATAAAAAATATAATTTGATATTAAAAAAAAATAAACAATCATTTGTATTCTTGGACAAAAAGCAACACAACACTACTCGTTGAAAATTTCAAGAATTCTATCAAAAAAAATTTAAATATAAAGAAACTTTCATTGGATACTATAAAATTGATATGAACATTAGTTTCAAATATCTTTTATTTATCTTCTTAAATTTTTGCTCTTTTATTATTCTTGGTAAATATTTTTTTTAAAAGTAAAAGAATTTAATTAATTTTGTTTTCTTTTTCTACAAGTTGGGATGTATTCGTTTGAGATTTGGAAAAAAAAAAAAAATCTTAATTTTCAGAAATCCTAATGTTTTTAACTCAAGTTGTTTAATATTTTTAAAAGTCTCGTGGTATTCATGTGAGAGTTTAAAAAGTCATACAAAATTACGAGGTATTTAACTTATTTGAGACTGAAATTTGTTAGGACTTTTTATGATTTACTAAAGTTTTCGAAGAGAAAAAATCATATACGAAATTTCGCTCCAAATCTCACATCTAAACATGAGATTTAATAGGATTCCTCCGAATTATGAATTTTTTTAAAAAGTCTTAAATGTTCGAAAAGTCACGATTTATCATTCAAAATTTTAAATAAATACCCCCTAAAAGGAATACAAATATGTACTAGTAGAATTTTTTTAGTTTTTTGGAGACCTTCCAATGTTACCATGCATTGTGTCATATATACGTTAATTTTATGTTTATCGTGAACTATAATATCGAAGTCAATAGTTGACTCCATAATGGAGTCAACCTTCTATATACAACGGGTTAATCGACCATATTATTTGATTACTTAAATAACACTAATATAATTTTATTAATACAGCATGTGGTTTAACTGTTGTATAACTGTTGGTTTCATACCAAAATCGATTATAATATATATTCAAATAACACGAGATAAGTAAAATAAAACAAAATAAAATAAAATAAATAAGGGATTGCTAATTTCCTCCATCATCACATGGATATCGAATGGGGGAGAAGAGGGGCTTGTCGTGTCGACTAAGCTTAAGCAATAGTTTTTTTTTTTTATTTTTTATTTTATTTTTTTTATTATTGATTTGTTTAAATAAATTATTTTATATTCACGAAATCTTATCAAGTATTGTGATACAAGATGATTTCAGAAACCTTTACGTGAAGAATTCCATGCCTGCAAACAGTGGCGAAACCAGCCGGTCATCCTGGGGAGGGCCCATTTTGCCGCGGCACACCACCCCCACTCCGGCCATCCCGCGGCGCACCACCCCCACTTCGGCATCGAAAGGACGCTCAAAAGGCTTTTGTGGACGCTCTAAAAAATTTTCGCAGGATATAAAGGAATAATCTAGAGATTTTTCTAAAAATCAAACTAAGTCTGAAATTAAACTGGTATACTTAAACTGAATTTTTTTAACTCGAAAAATACTCGAATTTATACTAATAAAAATCTCGGACTCAATTATAATATTAATCAAGAATTATACCTCTTTTCGAATAGACGAAAAGCTGAAAAAATTGAAAAAACGAAGCCTCGAACGATCGAACTCGTCCTCGACAAATTTGCTCATTTTGATACTATTTAACGCAGAAATTCAAACTCCCATAATAAATGCTCGGAACTACGAAAAATGCAAAATTTGTCCGTATGGAATCGTGCTTGAATTGTCTACACGCTCCAACTCGATTCTCGTTAATCCGAGGTCACACGCAACCTTACGGTACCCTGCAAAACGGCTTTTTATTCTTCTATTATGCGCACTCGACTTCGAGCTTCTCAAAATAAATGCTCGAAATTTCGAAACGTGAAATAAATTTTACGAACGGTTTCTACTGTTCTCGTGCTTTCAAGAAAGTACTCCCGCTAATTTTCAGCACGCCTAACGAGGGCCGACGGTTACCCGAAGTGTAGACATGAAAATGACAACAAAATCACCGCCACTATCATTTTTCTCTCAACTTCGGGCTACCCAAAATAAATGATCGGGACCTCAAAAACATAAATCGATGCCACCAACGCACTCTCCGCTTCTCGTACTTTCATAAAAGTATATTTCGGTAATGATCGACTCAGTTTTTGAGTCCCGTCGGTACACCGCAAGTCAGCTAATTAACCAACTCAAAATATAATAAAAATGAAAAAAATATTAAATTCTGTTGTTGTTATAGTTCTCCTTGTCCCGAAACCGGTGGCGCCCCTCCGGCCATGTATGTACCGCATAAAACTAGGGAGGGCCCAACATGCGCGGTCAGAAAAAAATCTTCCAATTTCAACAAAATCCTCTACCCATAGTTTAATTTTTTTTTTTTTTGGAGGGGCCGGCGCCACTCCAATATTACACATAGTTTCGCCCCTGCCTGCAAATAACCTTCATATATATTGACTAATGATTCAAAGATTCGTAATTAATTAGAATAATTCACACGACTAACTAAACCGGAACTACAACAACATAGCATTTTAGTCTCAAGCCTAAACGGATACTATTATTAGTATATAAATATGTTAACATAATTCAATAAAAGTCTTTTAACTAATGGACAATTGTTCAAGTTGGTAATTAAAATGTTATACTTTAAACACATCAAAATTTTTTCAGCTAACTATATATTAAGCTAGTTGATATGTCATTTTCTTTTGAACAAAATGCACAATTACACTTTACAATGTTATATCTTTATTTATGTTATTTTTAAGCCAATATATAATATTTCATTCAGAAAATATGCAATTATACTAGAAAAAACATATATCTATAGCTTGAAAAGTATAAATATTTATTTTTTTGTTTGAAAAGTATGACAAAATTTGAAGCGTCTGACAGCAGAATTTGTACCCATAATTTGCATATACTTATAGGGAGATTCTACGGTCCCCGTCAGAATTTGTAACCGTTAGATCAATTATCCACGACGATTACATGATGGTCTAACGATTACGAATTCCGACGGGATGACTCCGTCATGCGACTGGAACATAGTCCATAATTTTATTCTAATTCACATTTTTGCTCATCAAAAGATCCAAAATACACACATTTTCATCTATCAAAATTGCAAAAGCAATCTCTAAAACAATGGGAGATGCTACAGTCCCGTTACGGCACCATTCCGTCGGGGTTTGTAACCGTTAGATCATCCTGTAACCGTCGGGGATAGTTGATCTAACGGTTACAAACCCCGACGGAATGGTTCCGTAACAGGGACCGTAGCATTTTCCTAAAACAATAAGTTGATCAACTAAAAAGACATCACAATAATATTTATCCAAAATTCAATGGATCAAATATTAAACTATTATATTATCAACTGGGCATATTCACAGCTAGCACATCATCAATAGATGCTTTTAATCTGCCGGACGGCCACCAATAATAATTAATATTTCCCTCATTTTTTTTTTTTTTTCTTCTTAACAACAAATTTACCATTTCAACAAAAAAAAATTAAAATAAAAATGAAGGTCCTCAGCAGAGTTGACCATTGGGGGCGGCGCACCGCCTCCTCTTCGCCGGAAACACGCTCCCGAAACCGCCGTTCTCCGCCTCCGTCCGCCACTCCTCCTCCTCCACCACCGCCGCCGCCGCCTCCGCCTCGAAATCCAGCTGCTGCCCGTCGGTCAGGCCACGGCACGACGGTGGTTTATTTTTCCGGCGGCCGGCTCCGACGGGTACGTTACGGAGGGCCCCGCCGGCGGTCCAATACCGCTGGCAGCCCTTGCAGTAGTGCCTCGGCTGGTTGACGTTGTAGTTGTTGAAGTAACAGAATTTGGTCTCCATGCTATTGCACCTCGGGCACGGGATTATCTTTTCCGGCCTCTTTTCCGGCGATTGCTGGTCGGATTTTTCGGGCGATTCTTCTTGATAGTCGTCGATCGGTTGAGACTTGATTTTTACGGAGATTGTTGTGCCGAATAGCTTGATGCCTGAAGGGTTCTTGTTTTCTTGGACCTCGGCCATGTGGGCTTGTGTGTTTTCTGAGAGAGAGAGAGAGAGATGGAGAGAGATAGGGAGAGGTGGAGAGAGATTTGTTTTTGTCTTCGATGAAGTTTTTTTTGGGATGTGAAGTTAAGGTTATATATTCAAACATGTTATGTGGATCTTGCACTTTTATATTTGAAAAAAGAAAAAGGTTGGAAAAAGATGCAAATGGATCTTCCAATTTTATATATAAGCATCTCTTCATATTGAATTTCAATTTATCCTTTTTCCTTTTTGGGGTTAAAGTTAGCACTTTTGATATGAAACCAAAATTTTACTCCACAGTGGAGACAACCTTCTTCTGTATACAACAAGTAAATCATATCATATTCTCTGATTACTTAAGTAAATACTAACAATTTTACTAATATGGTATGGTTTACTTTTTGTATTACTTAAATAAATACTAATAATTTTATTAATATGATATGATTTACTTGTTGTATATAGAAGGTTGACTCCACTATGGAGTCAACTAGTGCTGTAAACGACCGAACTGAACTGAGCTTGAGCTGTTCGAGCTCGTGTTCATTTACCTTGGAACATTGTTCTTGTTTGTTCGTTTATTTTTCGAGCAAAAAATCGTGTTCGAGCTCGTTCTTTTAATTGTTCGTCAAAGTTCAAGTTCGTTCGTGTTTGGATAATTCAATACATAAACTTTTTAAATATGTTTGATTAACTTGAAATTTGTTCATTCGAACTCGTTTGCACTCGAAAATAAAAGAATAAAATAAAAATATTTTCATATTTTGTATTTTTTTACTAAAAATATTATGTAAAAATATAAAAAAATAAATAAAATTGTATCAAATTTTAGATTTTTTTAATAAAAATATTATGTAAATATATAGAAAATAAAATAAAATTATATCAAATTAATGTTCGCGAACATAATCAAAAGTTCACGAATGAGCTCGTGTTCATTGGATTATCAAACGAGCCTAATTTTCTATTCAAACTCGGCTCGATTAACAAACGAATGAGCTTTTGTCGAACACGAACGAGCTCGAACGAGCTTTTGTTCGCGAACTGAACGTTCGCATGATGCATGATGCATTAAATGCGTCTGTCTACCAGTCTTAGACTTATAGAGTAGCATGATGCATTAAATGCGTTTGTCTAGTCAATCAAATGTTAGTCGTACATCCTTGCCAGTTAACGAGCCGATTTATCATTCTTAGACTTTTAGGGTAGCATGATGCATTAAATGCGCCTGTCTAGTCAATCAAATGTTAGCCGTACAACCTGATGAACAACGTAAGGATGAACTTTCTCATCATTAGGCTACAAATGACCTTTATTTTGTTGCCTTTTGCTCGGCCTGTCAGTCCAGCTCGGGTCAAAGTCCCTATATTGAATTTAGCCTCTGCCTCTTTCAGCTCGTTTATAAATATTTTTTAAAATGGTCGATCTGCGAATTCAGGCTATTTTGTGGGCTCGTTTTTTAACTCGGGGTTCAACAAGTATAGATATTCATCTTTGATAAAAAAAAAAAAAAAAAAAGATGACTAGGCAACTCACGTCACTTTACACCAGATTTATATTAATTTGATAAATTGAAGCGACAAAATTCATCTCTATATATTAGTTCAAAACATGTTGAGTTTAAGTGGCAGGCTCACACGCTTCGGATTCTGACTGACAAAAATATATGCTTCGGAGGCTGACTTGGTCTAGACATAAATAATTTTTTTCAAACATGACAAATGTACATTTAAGTTTGTTATTTGTTTTTCTTTTAACACAAATTTCCTTCTTAAGTTGAGCAAATAACAGTCTTACTATCTTATATTTTTCTCCCATATTTCTTTCTTTTCATTAATAAGTCCATCACAATTTTTAAATAAATTTTTTATTTAGCAATAACTTTTATAATATATATATATATATTTATTCAACAGTACCCGTGTAGTACACGGTATTATACTAGTAGAACATAAACACAAATTTTGAAACAAGAAAAGTGAATTTGCAAGAACGAGTTTGAGTTGTCATATATATATATATGTGTGTGTGTGTGTGTGTGTGTGTGTGTGTTTAAGTCGGACAGTATTATATGGCTCAAAAAGAATGATCGGGCTTGATATAATATTCTTGATTGTATAAAAGTTATAATTTAACTAACTCATTAACTTATTTGGTTGAAGGTTGATAATTAAAAAATTTAAGCTAAAATTATTTTTTTGCCCTTCATTTACAATTAAATTTTATTGTCTTGTCCTATTTTTTTCCCAAAATTTTGGGAGCTTGACAAGCCCCTCACCCTCACTGTTGACCAGGCCAAATCCACTGCCATATTATATATACTTAACCGCCTCTGTAACCTTGAGCCCCTGCTCGTCCGCCAAACCCTCAAATCCGCTGCCACACATTCCCCGAGAGCCACCCTCAATGTCGCCTCAATCCTCTGCCACGTGTCGACCCCAGATGCCTCTGCCACCTCTCCCAGCGCGGCCAGCTCGTGACGCCCTTTCTCTATAGACAGTGCCTCGACTGGGGATTTCCCTCCCCACCACATTCGCTGTGTCCTCCGCTCTCAAGGCCTGCGCCCGGATATTTTCAAGAATGGGCGGGCCGACAATCGACGACCCTTGTCGACTTCTACTCGAAATCAGGAGACAGAGGCATCCAATAATTAGCTCTTCACGACAACACTGGATAAGTCGACCTCCCTCTTAGGTGGGTAGGGTTACTGGAAGGGGATCGAGCTCCCTCATAATTGGGTATTTATGTAAATTTAAAAGTAAAATGGTGATGGATTGCACAACCCACCCCATAGGTGAGATACCTAATACTAAAAAATGTTGAAAATTAATCGGGCCATAAAAGTGATTTCCTTATATTTGACAAAATAATATCACGGAAATGAAATACGTACATATGTTAAACTCAAGAAACGAAATACGTAAATTTGATAGTAAAAAAAAA